ATATATATATATATATATATATATATATATATATATATATATATTTATATATATATATATATATATATATATATATATTTATATATATATATATATATATATATATATATATATAATGCGTATCCAGCCTATACTCAGAAAATTTCTGAGCCCTAACGGGAATTGAACCGTGTAACGTTCTGAAAACCGGCAGACGCTCTAACCACTGAGCTATAAGGCATCAGATGGTGAGCCAAGGTAACGTAACCGTTATGCGTTTTATATAACCAACGAAATCAAATTTTATATATATATATATATATATATATATATATATATATATATATATATATATATATATATATATATATAAAATTTGATTTCGTTGGTTATAAAAACTTTTGGCAAAGTGCTCAATGGAAAACCAGAGCATATTTAAATTAAGGTATAACAAATCAACAAAATCCACTAGGCATCTTTATTACTAAATAGTTTCGTACCACAGCATGTGGCACTCTTCAGATAAATTGACCTAATTAGGTTAAAAATTACGAATTTCACATACAGCTTAGCGTATATATATATATATATATATATATATATATATATATATAGTTAATCCAGGTTCCACCGGAGTTAATTAAAAGTTGATTCCCTGAAATTAACAGAGTGATCATGCTATATGCTAATAAACCTGCACCTAAAGGTTTGAATAATGCATTCAAATCATTAAAACAACATGACCTGTTGCTATGGCTATAATTTGGCCACTGTACCGAGTCATTGTGATATTTGGAACGCTACGCTCGTCCAATGAAAAGCCATGATAAACGTGATTTGTCTCATAATTAGTATTACCAAATTACAACTATGATCGCTTCTGAATAGCCCCAACTCATGCTTTTCTTTTATTATAGGTCCTTTTTCGATTTCGCAGGAAATGTGTTGCATTGAAGTGACAAATTCAACACCAATTGCCATGTTTTTGCCTGCTAATTCAGGCCGGGGAAGATGCGCTTTGGCTCTGAATAATTTTCTCGTGGCCTTACATAATGATTTTGTTGGCCGTTGTAAGAACTTACTGAAAGATGAAAGTAGGTGAGTGTAAGAATATTAGATGGGTTTTATACACTTATCAATGTCCGTTGCATTCAATTACCGCGATAGCGTGCATGGTTGCTGTTTAAAATACAATGCCACTATTTATCCTTTATTGCTACTGTATCAATGCAGATTAAAACTAAAGATTACACGTCAACTGTTATTGGAACGGTAAGAAATAGCTAATTACCTCACTGTAACTAAGAAGCTAAGAATCAACCTGATGATTTTAGTAGGCCTACGTACACCCTGTATAAGCGCACTGTATGTGAGAGTGTTCCTGGAGCAGACATTATTTGCAAGAAAGATAATTACTAGAAGTATATTTGCATGCAGTAACCTCGCCTTTCTTATATAAAATACACATGAAGTATTTCATAATTAAAAACAATAGTGGTTGTCATGGTAACATGAAAATAATATGAATAAGTATTAAAGAATCTAGGATGTAGTTTTATTTTATTTGGCTTTTAATAGGCTTCAATTTAATGTAAAATAGTAAAACGTTCCGAAACTTTGCCGTGAAGCGGGGGAAACTGGAAAACTCGTTTTGCCCGACAATTTAGGCGACAAATAGCTTGCTCAAACGACGGCAAAAGTATGGTAAAATATATTCCCTTTATAGGCACAACCTTTTACTTCAATAAGGCACATTTACTGTAGGTAAAAGACCATTATAAACTTACATGAAAACACAATGCGCAGGATGAATTGTCCTGAATGAACAATAATAATCACTGCAATTTCATGTGAATTCAAGCTTGCATAAAAACATATTATTGAGAACGGCTTAAAATGAAATATGAATGAAATCGACAACACAAAGCAAGTACGGTATGGAGTTTCACTACTGAAATGTTTACCACTTACCAAAATATAGCCAGGACAACTATTAAATTATTAATTAATAACGACAAAATTCGAGTTTATTCAAAATTCAATAATTTATAAAGGTGGACAGGGTGTATCAAAAACAGTAGACAATTTTGAAACCGCCCTCAATATAGCGCGCACGCACTGTCAAGAATAGCATTTTACACTATAAATTTCTCAGCTGCTATTCTATAGGATTTTTTAAAACGTTCATATCTTGTACAGATTATTGATGTATTGGTAAACTATAACTATAACAATGTACTGCAGTGGTGCCGAACTGAATTTATATAAAGGCGCTCCATGGCATAAAACCAAGGACGATTTCTCAGAAATTATAAACAGCATTTCCAATTGAAACAATGTCTGTGAATAGGTATGTACTAAGGTTGATGCATAATGCATATGAGTTTGTGAAAAACTTTTTAACGGAAATAGTTTTATAGAGCAAGTCCCATTAACGTGAGTATGGGATGCTCCACCTAAAAGCGACTCCCATGTTATACACCACTGATGTACGTACCACCGTTTGTACACTTTCAAACAGTAATAAAATATAAACAAAACATAAACATTATAACAACAATATTACAATTATAAAAAATATAAACATTATAACAACAATATTCATAGGGAATAATAGGAACGTAAACCCTCCCTCAATGTTTGATGATGAACCAGTGTCTGATGAAGTATCAGATACATTCAAAGGAGTTGAGTTGAGTTGGTTGATATAAGATGAATTATGTGAGAAACCATTAAAATTATCTGATAACTGGTTTCGATACAGGCTTGATGGCTGTGGTACATTTTGGCTTTGCCTATTATTTCCCATCAAAAGGCTAACGATTCTCATTTCATGTTCCCTCTCTTGTAATCGACGTTGATTTTCTAGTTCCATCATCTTTAATTGGAAATTCATTTCTTTTTGATACCTTTCATTTTCTGCTTTTAAACTTCTGCCAAACGTAAAGAACAAGATAAAGCTAATTAAGTTATTAATTAAAGCACATGAAGGTGCAGCACATAAGAAATCGAAAGGGGTTAATTTAACTCTAAAGAAACGTGGAGTTAGAAAGGTTCAAAATAACCCCCAATAAACTAAATAGAGAACATCTAGCAGCAGTCTGGGTCAGTCAGTCTGGGTCAGTCAAGATGTAGTGGTCTCCATGTATCGTGCATTTGGGGAAGTGATATTTATAAACCATTGGTCGAGTGGCAGCACTCTTCACTTGACGATTAAAATCTTCTGGCGTTAGACAGGGTAAAATACAAAAGTAGGGTGCATCAGGGTGCATCGCCACTTAAAAGGTTAATTTTCCCATGAGGCACCACCATGGTTGATGCTGAGTGAGAAAATTTTGGAAATCTGTAGATCGTCGGAATTGGCATTTCCCTTATGATCCTACAAATTAACGACTATCTTGGGGTTGTTCACACGTGGAAATATATAAATCTAACCTCTCCATTTCCTTCTCAGATGTTTCATTTAATGTTTTGCACATTAATGCAATTCCCTTTTCAAAATTGCTCATTTTCGTTCTTTTTGCCATCGGTTGCTTACAAGTCTCAATTGATGTGTCTTCTTTGATGCTGCTACTTGGCTTTTCAGAATTGTCCTGGTCAGCAGTTTCAGAACAATTTGGAGCTTCTTCACCATATTTGCTGGTTTTTTCGGGCTGTTCAACTATGTCACTCACTCTGTCACTTGGTCACCTGTGTATGAAGAAATTGATATATTGTCATCTATCATAACAGTCCTACAAATGGGTCATTCCAGAAAACATTCATATATACCTATGCATAAAGCCACAGAGCAAACACTGCAAAGTCGAATGCAGTGGCGGACACTTTATGAAATATTGGGTGGCTCGTGGGCATGCCCCCCGGAAAATGTTTAAAATTTGGACCCCGGAAATGGAATTTGCAGCATTCTGAGAGCACATTTTGTAAAAAACTAGGTTTTCAAAACACTGTTTTAAATAATGGTATTAAACTACAATGGTTTATTTAATTAATGGTATTATATGACAATTACATTATGCGTGTGTGATTTGTGTTATTTGGTACAAGATTTGTACAGTCTTTCAAAATTATAGGGGGGGCTGAGCCCCCCCCCCCCCTCCTAGTGTCGGCCATTGGTCGAATGAGTTAATTATGATACATTTAAATGATATTACTAAAATAAAACACACCGATCTTTTATACTTTCATGGTCTCCTTCACTATCACTGGCAATGTGACCAATGTCATATCCAGCATATTCAGACGAGGTGTCTATGACCTTAGGGGGTCGTGTATTTGGTCTTGTTCCAAGAATTTATCCAATTTACCAAAATATTTCCATAGCTTCTTTCCAGTTCCGCTCTTATTTGACTTGTCTTTTTATGTTTTTTCATATTATTTATGATATCATCAAGTCGAAAGAAAAAGCCTCTATTTTCCATTTGAACCTATAATGACCCAAAGTAAAAGATAGTTGACGGCTTGAGATTATTTGACACAGTGGTGTTTCGATTGCGCGGATCTTCATCAGTGCTAATAATATGTCAATAATATGCTAATAATATTTACCGTTATTCTTCGATATACTTCACGGGTTTCTTTCGCACATTTAACATTTTCTAAAGCAATCTGTATGGTTTCTTCTCCCCAGAGTTCAATCAATACTTCTGTTGCTTCACCGGGCCAAACAATCCCTCTATTTTTCTTCGGTGAAGTAGTTTTTTTTTCCTTTCTGACCCATGTTCTGACTAACTTTCGATTTCGCCGCCATGTTTAATATTCATATACAAAGTTTTCACGAGTCCTGGAACTAGTCCACTTGGCATGCGCAATCAGATTTTTGTACTAGGCACGGCACTGCAAGCGTTTACATTTGTTTCAAAACAGGCACGGCACGGCATTCAGGGGTATCGAGACAGACTGTTTTCGTGATGCTCGGCACGGCAAAAATTATGGGGATTTTTAAAAGGCCGCACCGTTTACACTATAAAGATAGGCGTGCCGAAAAAAATCGGTAGCCGTGCCCAAAACTTTGCCGTGCCGTGCCGAAAGAAGTTGTAGTGTAAACGGGGCTACAAAAGCAAGTACCGTGTGGAATTTCTTACCCAAAATAGCCAAGACAACGATTAAATGATAAAAACATCCGGTTCGTCTTCGAAAAAATTCGTGTTCCTGCCTTTCAAACTTTGTTTCACAGTTGACAGCCACTTTGTTTGTACTTTTGTAAACTTTTTTATGAAGTTTAAAATCGCAAAAATATACTGTATAACAGCAAAGTACATCTTAAACCGAGGAACATCCATCACATAACGACTTTGCACTTCTCATACACCCGGGTGTAAATAGCCGATCGGAAATTGTACCATCGCCCCCAAGCTTACGCCCGGAACGTCGTTGATTCGGGGATAAAAATAGCTAATATTGTACATTCATGGGTGTTACCAGGCCCAGAGCTACGGGGGGTGTGGGGGGTGTGACACCCCCAGAAATTGTATTTAGTCGGCAGGACTGCTATTCAGTCGGTAGGACTGCTATTCAGTCGGTAGAACTGCTATTTAGGTTAAATATTTTCGCGCAAAGGGCAAGATAGGGGTCGGAATTTTAGAAAAAATTTTTGGAAAAATGGAGAAAATTTGTGATATCTGGAAAATTTGTTTGATGTTCCGAAAAATTTTGGTATGTCCGGAAAAATTTTTGGACCCCTAAAATGGTACACTGACCGAAATTTTTGTGGCGACGGGGTGTTGAGGGCGCCAAAATTAATTTTTTTGCGGAAATTTTTTTTTGTCGGTTGAAATGACCTTACACCCCCCCCCCTGAAGAATTCCCTGAGGACGGTCCTGGGTGTTACTGCATAATTAGAAAGACAATTTAAATATTTATTTTGTTTTTAGTTCACCAGAAATCCCGCTGGCCAATATAACTAAAGCTCATCTTGTGGGATACGATCCAGAAAAGGATTTCTTGCCAATGATCCTCGCACATTGTGATTATTCTCTAAAAGTTGGCGAGGGAACGATGGTAGAGTTTAACTGGAAGTGTTTGGAAAGACAACTGGTGGACAGATTCATCCGAGGAAGACCTAGACTAACCTCTTTGGTAAATACTTTATTTTCTTTTAACACAAACAGGCCAAACAGTGAACATAATTTTGAATTAATTTCTAAAATTTACAAACAGTCATGATATTCTGTACCTTTATATGTGCATTAAATAGAAACACAAAAAAATGCGTATTAGGACAGCTAATCAGTAAAATACGATCGTATAACCTTCGGAGTGTATGAAGTAAAATTAATCCAACTCCAACTATTAACCTCTAGGACTTTACGTTAGTACTTTAGTTTCTTGAAATGCAGCTACCAAACAGCAACAGTCGGTGGGGATCCAGACCGGTGCCAACGATGCGAATACATCGGTCAAAATTGAGAAATCATGTTGCTTGAAATAATATATAGACATATTAATGATATTATGGTGTTATCAACATAGTCAAGCACTCGGTAATAGAACATGCATCTTTCTAGCTATCAAACCGCAAATCTTTGCTTAAAATTGACTCCATGTCAGGAATACACAAAATAAGTACAATATGCGACGTGCAATCGCAAATGTGTACTTTCTGTTATTTACTTTTTATTTTGCGACACTTAAGCGTCAATAATTTCGCGACAAAATATGTTATTTTTTACCGCATCCTTTGACGTCACAATAGAAAGCTCCAATGCATCACCTACGTCACGGTAAATTTGGTTTGCATCCATTTTCAGCCATTGTGCATCAGTGAATGCATCGGTCCCGATCTATTGTTTTAGAGCCCTACGTCACGGTAGATTTGTCCGCTGAGCGATGCACTATATGCAAATGATATGAGACAAATAAATGTTCAATTCCGATCTTTTGCGAAGAAATATCCCTCGAAATTGACGGAGAACAAATAATTTACAGTCGAACTAATTACCAAGGCTTGGAATGAATCCAATCTTTCAATTGAGTACAAAAATTGAAGAGTATTTATACTGTGAAATGTCCACTATAGTCGATGTGCAACTCAAACTGAGGGCTCTAAAGTAAGTGAAATTTATCTATATTTTACATTGTAGTACATTGTTCAGTTCAAGAAGTGTATAAAGTGGAAAATGGGCTCCACGGTTAATGTAGATTTGTATGTATTAACAAAATAATTAAAGTTTGTGTCTGTTAATACTGTTATTACCAGCAGGGTGGGTAAGGAGTTTGATATTTTACAGTCTTTACAGAGGTTTTCTTGTCTGCAGGAGGCAAACTAGCCCCAATACCAAACTTGGCAGCTTGCTCTACTAAGGCAAATTTCGTCTTTGTTTACATGGGATTATAACCTGTGCCCAGGCCTTCATTTTTCTCACAGTTGGCGGGCGAAGAAAAATGAAGATCTGATACACATGTTATTAAACCTTTGTGTCTCACAACTGCCTGTATGGTTGTAACTCTGATTGGCTATTTCTAGCATGAGTATTCATGCCATATTTAATGTATTGTTTTCATATTTTGGTTAATGCTATATATATATATATATATATATATATATATATATATATATATATATATATATATATATATATATATATATATATATATATATATATATATAATTAAATAGTTATTTATTTAGTAATAGTAACTATATTTAGCTTGTTGTTAAATTATGTGAAATTGACATTCCTCCTGGCACATTTTGATTATCCAATCAAAATAAAACTATAGTGTGGGTGGAATGTAACTCGAAATGTAACTCGGACTTGCATCAGGCTATGTGTGTATAATTACAGAGCACAATTGCAGGTTAATTAATGAGGTTTCTATAATAGTGATGCAATATTGGTTAGAAGACTAAGGGGCAGATTACATGAAAGATAATTGGTTCAAGTTGCAAGTTCCAGTGGTATCTCCTATTACATTTCATTTTCTTTTTCTATGGAAATGAGCTGGCATAACTCGTGAGGCAATTACTGTACACTGGATATTTTACAAACAAAGATGATTACCTGGGCTTGCTCGCCTACCATATAGTTGAATATATATGCTTTGTCTGTGCAAATATAATTTGATATATAAAGCTGTATATGTGATTCTCTTGACAGATTTTAATCTTAGAATGATAAAATGATGGCCGGTATAAATACTGCATAAAACTGTAACTGGTGTATATAGGTTATAATTATGAAATTTAATCACAAAAGTGTGATAGTTTGAAAAATATATTTAATTAAATTATATATCTGTAGTTAATTGTAATTAGCTAATTCTCCCAATACCATGTTTTGGATAGCCAGAATGGCACCCTGAGGATTACCATTGAAAAGTGTATGGATGTATTTGACAAAGATGTGCATTTATATAATAACATAGGGAAAATATTCATCAATACTACTGTGCAGCCTTCCTACATTGACAACATCTTAAAAGAGTACTGTATTAATATTAATTGAAGCCAGGCAAAAGGGGACAGATAGAAGACATGATTTAATTATGTACTATTTAAAGCAAGCGTAGGAGTGTTTTATCACATATAAAACACGACGCGTAGCGGAGTGTTTTATATGTGATAAAACACGACTACAAGCGACTCATCTTATGCGAGTTCATTGGCGAAGTAATTTTTAAAATAAACTTTGTCTAAACCGAGAAAATCAAAGCTAGAGTTTATGTAAATTAACATGATTTTTATCACATAAAACCACGACAGGCTTATGATTTTTCTTTGTGTTTTGCTCCTGAATTATTAATGAGTTTTTTAAGTACATTTAATTATCTGCAGTTTAGTAGGTTCATTTGACAAACAATTTCCAACTAAGATAGTTCATTAAGTTAAATCAATTTACACGCAGTCTCTATTGATTTAAAATTTGTGGTCGTGTGTACCTAGTTATACTTATAGAATTTTAAACCCAGAGCTTGTTGTGTGTTAGTTTACTGGTTTCTTGGTCGCATGACAATATTCTCAGTATTCAGAATGTGGGCTATTCACCATGCAGTTCATGTCAAAGGCAGCTAGGGGCGAAAGAAATTGACTAACTGATGGCATCACATTGTCCATACAGAGTAAGATTAGCAGCATAAGATAGAGTTGTATATGAATAAGTTTACTCACTAAAGCACAAAATACATTTATGCACCATTCTAATGCTAGAAGATTTCGCTCAAAAATAACATAATAACACTGTCTTCTGAGTCCAGCAATTCAACTAGTGGATCACACTGTATACACCTTTTTACACAGTTAGTATGTGTGTATTTGCGTTGTCGTGATTTTTTGCCGAAATGTTTATTTCAATAGAAACGTTAAGGCTACAAGAAACACAGTACTAACTATTTTTGAATAGAGACTTATATATCTGCCACTGCTGCTATTACAGTTGTACAAGCAAATATTTTTTCTTATGTGGAGAAATTATATTGTTTTTGCGATATATAGGTTCAAGTTTTTTACGTGATTTTCCAAAAATGCAGCAAATAATTGTGTGACTCTGATGTATGAATTGGAACAAAAGAGTTTCGCTCAGGACGCAGGAAATCGCATTTCCGAGGTCCTAGATTTCAAAATTTCCCGTGGGAAGATACCCCCGGACCCCCCAACAAATTCGAGGTCTTAGGCATCAGTCAGCTTAGGAACTGAGTCCGCCCCTGGCAACAGTGCATCAATCCTCTTTATATAGGCTACCTATATTTATCTACAAGCCTACATGCAGGGTGTATAAACTTCATCGAAACATTAAATTAGAATATAACATAAAAAAAGAATAAATCGTTTATGTTTACATTAATTTATTACCCGTTGATCCAGGTTTCCACCAATGGGTTAATCTAAATAATCCAAAGAATTGGAAGAAAGCTATGAAAACCCAAGTTACTACCATTTTCCATCCATTTTGTTTTGTCGGTAGAACTGCTATTTGGGTTAAATATTTTCGCGCAAAGGGCAAGATAGGGGTCGGAATTTTAGAAAAAATTTTTGGAAAAATGGAGAAAATTTGTGATATCTGGAAAATTTGTTTGATGTTCCGAAAAATTTTGGTATGTCCGGAAAAATTTTTGGACCCCTAAAATGGTACACTGACCGAAATTTTTGTGGCGACGGGGTGTTGAGGGCGCCAAAATTAATTTTTTTGCGGAAAAAAATTTTTCGGCAGTAGTCGGTTGAAATCACCTTACACCCCCCCCCTGAAGAATTCCCTGAGGACGGTCCTGGGTGTTACTGCATAATTAGGCATCAGTCAGCTTAGGAACTGAGTCCGCCCCTGGCAACAGTGCATCAATCCTCTTTATATAGGCTACCTATATTTATCTACAAGCCTACATGCAGGGTGTATAAACTTCATCGAAACATTAAATTAGAATATAACATAAAAAAAGAATAAATCGTTTATGTTTACATTAATTTATTACCCGTTGATCCAGGTTTCCACCAATGGATTAATCTAAATAATCCAAAGAATTGGAAGAAAGCTATGAAAACCCAAGTTACTACCATTTTCCATCCATTTTGTTTTGTTTTATACCTAATATTAACTGTACACTCTAGTCTTGCTTCGTTTATTTAACAATTCTGAATTTTGTAAAATAACATGGTATTATATCAGGCAAAGTTCACATTTTTTCCGTTCCCATATTTGTATTTGTATTTGTATTTAAAATAGATCCCCAGTTAGCTATAATGCTAGTTTACACGAGGTCTACGCTATGGTATATTAAGTTTTATATATATATATATATATATATATATATATATATATATATATATATATATATATATATATATATATATATATATATATATATATATATACATATATATATATACATACATATATATATATATATATATATATATATATATATATATATATATATATATATATATATATATATATATATATATATATATATATATATATATATATATATATATATATATATATATATATATACACACACACA